TCAACATTGACACAAAATCTTTCCTCTCCAATGAATGGAGTTTTTTTTCTGGTGATTTCAATAGCTCAGGAGAAAATCTTTGAAGGGTATAAGTGAGATGCACTTCCTCTCCTCCACTCCTCCCCACACCCTTCTGCTCCAACATTAAAAATGGCTGTTTATCATTATTGCCTCATTCTCCCCTGTAATCAGCCATTAGGAATAAAGTGTGTTCCTAGCATTTAGTATACACCAACAGTGGGTACTTAATAAATACCTGTCAAAAAGTGAAGAGAAAGCTGAGTGATCCTACATGGGCTATGAGAAAGTCAAGAAGTAGAAAGTGCTCTGCTTTCCTCTTGCCCCTTTATTGTTGTATAATTGCCATACAACCTGTCCATTTATAACCAGCCTTTATTTTCAGATAACTTGAAAGAGAAGTTAAGCATTCTAAAAACGCAATCAGCTCTTTTGAGCTGCCTTGTTTGTCTGGGAAATAGTACAGAGAACTGACAGCCATGAAAAAAACAGATCTGGGTTCAAATTCAAGTTCTATCATTTACTGGGTATATAACCTTGAAGAAGTAATTTAGTCAATTGATTCAGTTTCCCAAGATGATAGCAGAGGCTACAATGTGGAAAACATAACAAAGCATATGAAACACTACCTTACTGAATATTGTTTTCTTCTACTTCAAGTTATTACCAATGAAGAAGTAACAAAGTAAATCCAGGTGATATATAGTTCCCAGTACCAGAGCAAGGAGTCACCTCCCTGCTTCAGGTGATCAACTGGCAGTGAAAGAGATGGAGAGGCTGTAAGATCCAAGTAGCCAACTGGAGCCAGATGTGCTGTGGTACAGCCACAGCAGCTACCAACGTGGGCCCATTACCTCTGACATGGCTGTGCAAGCCATCTGTTAAATCAGCAATTCATACCAACAGGATCACTGTACTGAACTTTATCCTGTGGCCAGAAAGAATTCATTTGAGTCATGACTATCAGGGTTTTCCTCATTGTAATCAGTTGTTCAGGTTAAACAACAGACTAAAAGAGCCTAGTAGGAGCCCTAGGGACAGAGCAATTTGATAAACCACTTGGATTAACTCCTAGATTCCATTCATAGTTGACTTTTTCCCTGGTGAGCTAAGAGGCCCCAGGAAGCTCCACTGGCATCTCTAGCCCTTTCATGAAAACAGACAGGCCTAATTCTGGCCTCCAAGGCAACCTATTCACATGGAGAAGGGACTCTGTCTACACCAAGACTTCACAGGTCAGCCAATGGAAACTGATGGGTATATTCAATTCTCAACATTGCAGAACTGTCAGTTTCCTCTACTGAAGAAGCAGACGCCACTTCAAAGACAGTGTCTTGAGAAAGATAGCGTCTTGAGTATTTTTACTGAGCACTAATAAAATTCTGTGGGGTACAGGAAGGAATGCAATTAAGTATAATTCCTTATTTGCCCAAACATCAAGAGCATAAAAAGGTGATGGAAATACAAAAACCAATCTTGCTGAATATCCCAGATCCATAGGACTCTAAGTACTGAATAACCTTACTCCACAGGCTCAACACTGCATTGAGTTTCCCCATCTCCACCTTCAGAGTGGCTGCTCTAAGGTTCCCCTATATCTACCTCTTCAAAGGTGTACAGTCCAGAGTGCCCACACTCCTTGAAGCTGAAATTCTGGCTGCACTGACTGTAGCTAGTACATAACACACACCACCTTCTCTTAACTCAATTCTTCTTTTTAATCATGAGAAAGAAACTTCCTACCAAGTTTTTCTGATATGTACTTCTTCTGTTCCACTTTTTGAAAGATTGACTTGAGGGCCTCTTTGGGGACCTAACCAAACCCAAAACGTAACAGATAAAGTGCCTAAGGGATATGGGAAAGAAACACACTATTAGGTTGAATCATAAGAAATAGCCAATATTCAATTTATTTAGCAAAAAAATGGCAATTTTGTTTGGTTTAACCTTGCTTCTGCCAAGTAGCTTTCTGAAAGCTGTATGAACTACATGATCTCAGAACCAGTTATAAGTCAATGTTTCAGCTAGATGTGATGTTGAGGCATCAAGTCCAAGGGCATCTGTTCTTGAGATCACCAAGAGATACCACATGGTGGGCCATAAAAGTCATCTCAATAGATTTCAAAAGATTGAAATTTTAGCTTGGTTAGTCTCTGACCACAATGGAATTAGATTAGAAATCAATAACAACATGTTATCTTTTAAAATTCCCAACAACTTACTTTTTAAAATATACATATACATATATATTTTTAGTTGTGGATGAACTTTTATTTTTATGTATTTATTTTTTAAACCCAGTGCCTCACACATACGAGGCAGGTGCTCTAACACTGAACCACAACTCCAGCCCCCAACAACTTACTTTTAAAGAACCCATGGGTCAAAATCTAAATCACATAGAAATGAAAACATATTTTGAAAGGAATAAAAATTTAAAATATAGTAATGTATGGGATGAATTAAAGAGAGCTTCAAGAATTTGCACCTTTAAAGGCTATGTGAAAGACTAAGGTCTAAATTCAGTGATCTAAGTTTCCACTTTAGGAAGCCAGAAAGGGAAGAACAAATTAAAGATAAACTAAGTAGAAAGAAGGAAATAAAAAATAATAAAAATCAATAGAAAAAAGACAAGAGGCAGAGGGGGAAAGAAAACCAAAAGCCAGTTCATTGTAAAGATAAATAAAATTGACAAAAGTTTAGTTACACTTATAATAAAGGAAAAGAAGACAGACATTATTAATATCAGGCATGAAAGAGGATTCACACCTTGTATCCTACAGAGAGTCAAAGGATAACAAGGGGAGACTATGAACAATACAGACTTGACAGCTCACATCATAGTTTGACAAACTCCCTATGGGCCAAATCTGGCTTATTACCTGTATTTATACTTTAATTGGAACACAGCCAGACACATTCATTTACATGTTGTCTCTGAGTGCTTTTGCCCAATAACAAAAGTATTGAGTAGTGGAGGCTAAGATCCAGTAGCCCACAAAGCATAAAATAGTCACTACTGACTCTTCATAGAAAAGTTTACTGAGTTTAAGATTAGATAAAAAGAACAAAACCTTTGGAACATACAAATACCAAAACTTATTCAAGAGGAAAAAATTTTTAAAAACTACCCTATATCTATCAAAGGTATTGAACTCTATAGTTAAAAACATTACCACAAAAAACTCCAAGCCTTTGTGGCTTTTCTGATACATTCTATCAAACAGTTGAGAAAGCATTAATATTAATCCCATAAAAATTCTTACAGTAAATTGAAGAGAAAACTTCTCAACTTATTCTATGAAGCTAGCATTAATTACCCCAATATGATAATCAGAGAAAGGCATTACATGAAAACTATGGAGAGAAGAAACCAGTCCATAAAATTCTGCACTGAGCTGACCTATCACCTTTTCATGGAAAGTTTAAAAAAAAAAAAAAAACTTGCATGTACTGGGGTCCTAATTAGAATGAGATATATTATAAAAAATGCTTGTGTAACTATATAAAAATGGATTCTATTGTCATATATAACTAAAAAGAATCAATAAAAAACTTTCATGAACCAATATCTGAAGACCAGGAGATAAGGTGACTTTGAAGCAACACATCATTATACCTGAGTTGCCTCCATTCCCTCAAGGCACATGGTAAGAAAGACATCTTACATTCCTATTACAGAGGCAAAACCTTGCCACTGTTCACAGTTTCTATGCTTCTTTCACCTTTGACAGTAGTGCAATAAAAAGAGCACAAGACATGTGGCCCCTTGGCGTTTATTCCATTCTGACTTGCAACACAGAATAAAGCTATGATCACATCTTTTATGTTCAAAGCTTGGTCACCAGAGCCAAACACCTGACAACATGACAACAATGTCACACATAGATACTCCTGTGTGTCACTAGACTTAGGTTTTGATTAAATAAAACTTAGTGGTACTAACTTCATATATTCTCTCCAAGCTCAAAGGCCCCCAAGACATGGTAGCCATGCATGCCTGCAGTGGACTATTGAGTGTGACAATTCTGTTGGGAAGGGATTAGCTTGAGCAGTTACCATCAGTTAAAGAAAAAAAAAAGAATTTGGTTTCTGAGACCAGACCTGGTTCCTTCCATCCCTGAGCACCCACTAAGCACTAATGAATGGGAACTCATCTGTGGTAGCCTCTGAAACTAAGGAAGCATTTCTCTGAAGAACAGTAGGGTCCAGCTGGGGATATAGCTCAGTTGGTAGAGTGCTTGCCTTTTGTACACAAGGCCCTGAGTTCAATCCCCAGCACCACCAAAAAAGGGGGAAAAAAGCATGAACAGTAGATACAGCCATTTACTTTGGGGTCAGATTTCTCTGATTCTTTGGGTTAGACTGGGTTCCTTCTCCTTCAGTGTACTGCCCAATAAAGACTAAAGCCCAGGAAAGGCCTCCACAGACAGACAGGAGCTGAGCATGCCTGCAGACTCCCAAATCTTCCCACCCAGGAATAAGGGAATCATTCCCTAAGAGGTCACTCCAGACAAGCAATATTAAGTTGCAATATTTGAACCAATATCTGAAGACCAGGAGAAATATGACTTGGAAGCAACATATCATTATACGTGAGTTTCCTCCATTCCCTCAAGGCACATAGTAAGACAGCTATTAAGTGCACTGGTCTCTGAGTGAAGTGTCTTCAAAACTGACCATCATGAGACAGGAGGTTGTCTCATAGCATGACCTGAAATTTTGTTAGCTCATTTATTTTTCACTTTTCCCACCTGAATGTAGCTTCATGAGGAGAGGGACCTTTCCTTTCTTAATCACCACCATATTTTAACATCTGAGCACAAAGTGAGTATTTGATAAATATCCATTAGCTAATAGTATGAGATTGTAGCCTTTACAAAGCCATCTTGCCCGAGTAAAGTTGGTTGTTTGCAGATAACTTAGCAGGGAGATGGCTTTTAAAGTCACATGCATTCAGTGAAGGGAACAAGTCAACTCACAGCTAGCATACGAGCGGCTGTCGTCCTCACACAGTTTGTGCAGCTGCTGGTATTCCTCCTGGGCCAGCTCAAACCGCTGTTGCTTGATCTGGTATATTTCTTTCTTGGCATTGAGAGCCTCCTGGGCTACAATTAAATACTCCTTCAACATCCGTTCCTGCTCTCGCCTCCACTGCTCTCTTGGATCCTCAATCTGGGTAAGCTCTAAAAGGAAGATGATAAGGAAATGAGTGTCTTGAGGGTAACATCTGTAGGTTGACCAACAGTCATGCATTATGCTACTAGTCAATATGAAAATTAACTAATTATCAGGATGAACATTGTGAAAGGTTTCACATCATGAAACTTTCTGAAGTTTGGAACACCTTCCACTTATATTTCCAAAGTTCAGACAAAAAGAAAAATCTACAGATATGAAATAGTTCAGTGGAGGAGGAAAGACAAGACGATCCTTTCATCAATAAAGACCATACTTTAAATAAGTGCCCAAGGAGATGCACCCAAATGAGTTCAAAACTGTTAATGGATATTTGTATAATGGGTAATCACAATGTTCTTCTCACTGACTTCTTCACCATGAGATGTGAAAAAGTCAGTGAGAAGAACAGTCTTCACATGGGATGTGTAAAAACACTACTGTCCCCTGCTTGACTTGCTACTCTTTTCCTTTTCTCATTCCCCTCCCACGCACAATTCCCCACATTTCCCACTCTGCAGGCTCTTGAAAGGGCCCACATCTACCTCTGGCTCCAACTCCTATCTTGAGCTCCAATTTTTTTTATTCCCAGCTGCCTCCTAAATGCATCTACTTCTTGTCAGACCCATAGTAATTCTGAGCCAGTCATCTGAAGCACAACTTGTTCTCACACACTGCCCTTTCACTACCAGAAGCAAAACCAAACTAAACAACTCACACCATGCACTGCTTCCCTCTCTCGATGAGCAGTATCTAGATCTATCTACTTAGCCAACCTGGGAATCCAAGCTGAGTATCATCCTCAAAGAACTTGTGCTCTTCTCCCCCCACCCCCCAGAATACTCTAAGGATTATCAAGAAGTGGTGATTCCTACTGATGAATACAATAATGACTGACTATATGCCCTTTTCTCTGTCTCCCCTTACTTCAATCAGGGCCTCACAATCTTCCCCCATAGTCACTCAGCTTCTTGTCTCATGCCAACAAAGCCCATCCTCAGTGCACTTACCCACATTACCTTCCTAACTGCTGCAACCCTCTTTCATATGTACCTCTTCTAAAGCACAAAATCCAGTATCCACAGCATGAGTCCCAAAACTCGTTTTCTAGCTTCATCTCTTTCCTAGCTTCTCCTTTTCCTCACAAACAACCTCTGTACAGACAACTTTTCCAAAATCACCAGATGTGCCTGACTAGCTCATTGGTGCCTGTGTTTATGCTGCTTCTGTCCTCTCTGCTCACCAGGGCAGCCTACCACTTTCCAACACTCATTGCAAAGGCCTTCTTTTTGAAGCCTTCTCTGGCTCTCCTGGTCTGTGTCTCTCCTCTGCACAATTGACAATGCCATTCTAACCACCTGTACCAGTTGGCACATACTTATTTCTATATTTTCTGCTTCACAGGTAAATTATGAACCCTGGACAGCAAAGGTTCTGCCTTAGGCTTTATATCCCCAGGATCTTCTCTCAGTTTAAGAGAGTGGAAAGATTTAGGTCATAAAAAGGAATGAAGTACTGACATGTGCTACAAAATAGAGAAATCTTGAAAGACTCATGCTAAGTGAGAGAAGCCAGACACAAAAAGCCATACAGATGATTCCATAGATATGAAATGTCTAGAATGTACAAATTCACAAGGACAGAAAGCAGAAACAGCTAGCAGAGACTAGGGGAGAGGGCAATACAGAATGACTGATTAATGAGGATAGCTTTCCCGTTGGGCTAATGAAAGTGTTTTGGAACTAGCAGAGATGACAGTTGCATAATATTATGAATGCACTAAATGTTATTGAACTGTTCGCTTTAAAACGTTCATTTTGTGACCTGTGAATTTCACCTCAAAGTGGTTAGTAAGGTAAATTTTATGTATTCTTGTTTTGCCATCCACACAAGTGTGCTTGCTAAATGTTCCAAAGCAGGTTCTCTTGAAAACATTATCCCCATCCACCTTCCTGCCTATACCCCTAATCAGCCCTTTACACTGCCACCCCAGGCTCTTAGAAAGCCTCTCTAGGCCTTGAAAGCTTATATGGGTAAAGATAAAACAAAGCGAAAAAACAAAAAAACAAAAATCAGAGTCTGGCTTTGGCCCCAGAGTTCAGATTCAATGGGACTGGGGTGGGGCAGAATCAGTACTTTCGTAATTGCCCGGATGTTCCTGATGTTTATTCAGCTGCATGACACCCTGAAGCCAGCCAATGGCATTGTTTGCAGTGTTCCAGTGCTCTGGAGGGTCTCAGGAATCTTGAGGGTATCAACCCATAGCCTCTCTGGTCCCTCACCCACCTGCATAGTTCAATGTTAATATTTGATTCCTTAGATCTTTGCTTTAAAGAGTTTTAAACCTGTGTCATCAAGAGTTGGGTTCCTTGAAGGTCTCAGATGAAGGAGGTGATGTGACCCCAGAGCTGCTTTCATGCTCACTCACTACCCCCCACATGCTAGGTCATCCTTTATGTTCCTGGTGGCTGGAAGAAAGTCCTTGGTGGCTATTTTCTTTTTGGGTTCATGGCCACTTTTAGAGTGTCAATCTTTGAGGGTGAAGAATGGGTCTTACTTTCTTAGGTGCCCAGGGCCTAAAGAGAGTGGGCAGTTCAAAGGTGTTCTATAAACGCTTGCTGTGATTCAGTGAGTGAGCGGGCAAGGAATGTCATGGTAAACAAGGGGCGCTGGTGGATAAGTGCTGAGTTTACAAGAAAGACGGGCCAGAACAGGTCCTAGGCCACAAGAGCAGCAGGCAGACTTTCTGGAAATGTTGTATAAGGCAAATGTCTATACCATTTGGTGAGCATCTGTACTTACTTAGGCCCAGGAAGGAGAAAGCCTGGTGATACAGCCATACTGCCCAGTCCCATAGCATAGTAGTTTCACAGAATGAGAGGGTTTTGGCTGTCAGGAACTGCCTCTTACTCTATCAGCTGAGAGGGCCACCCAAGATAGCCATATTCACCCAAACACATAGCCATGAGGTGGCAAGCCAATAGTGCCACTGGAAGAATAGTCTTCAGCTGGGGCCTCTCAACTTCTCTTCTTCCAGGTACCTTACTCTATCCAGTGGGTGGCAGATCCACCTAGAAACTCTCCTGCCACTTGGATACCTGCATGGGAGGCCAGTGGGGCCAGGACAATATTTATTTTCTGTTTCCAATCATCACTGGCCAGTTTTTGAATAATGGCTACAATTGTACAAAGCTTAGTGCCAGGAATTGGAAAGCCCACTGCCTGACAATGTCATTCAATATCTGAGACAAGAAGGCTCACAACCTTGAAACATCATGGGCAATTCAAAACTCAGGAATCAACCCCAAAGAAACCAGCCCAGGTTAATCATACTAAGGGAACATGAGGTACCACAGGACTGGAGAGGGAAAGAATATCAAAATCCATCATGCATCTTCAGACCCACACTTAATAAACTGAAAGAAAAAGCAAGGCAAGGGAAAGCCATGCTTCATGTCCCCTTCATGTCCCCAGTAGTAATATGACAATGATAGAAACACTGAAGGGAGCTAGAATGAAAATGGGACTGAGAAATGGAACCCTAGTTGGGACTCAGTTCTAGAAAGGCTAATGAAGAAGCAGAAAGCCAAGAGTGAGGGTGGAGAATGGATGTAGAATGACATGGAGCCTCTGTATCAAGGTTTCCCTTGTTTGGCACTATTCCCTCTGTTGGGAGACCATCCTGTGCACTGTAGGATGTTTAGCAGCACTCCTGGTCTCCACCCACTAAATGCCAGCAGCACCTCTGTTAGGCACAACTATTGTGAATGCCTCTAGGTACTGCCAAATGTCCCCAGGGGACAAAGATCACCCCAGGCTGAGAACCACTGCTCCAAATAGTTCTACAAAAGACACTGGAAAGATCAAAGACCTGTCACCTTTACACCATTTTCTCCTTTCACACATGAAGATCAAAAGGTTTGGTGTGTTAAAGCAACCACTTGGGCACTTGCTGTTCCAGGAACTTGTTAAATTCTACTTTGCAATAAACCTTTCCATTATGAGAGGTATTTCTGATTCCAGATTGCCTGGGAAATTTATTACTTATACTAAATATTAAAACCCTGCATTAAACTTATTATATTCAGTCCTCAGCAAGACATAAATAACACATAGCTAACTGCTTCATGTACTGAGCATTCAGTTAATGAAAACTTCACATTATACTTATAAAATCCATTCCACATTGCATCAGATGGTAACTATTGTTTTTCTTTACAAAACAACATTTTAGCATTTTTTGAGATTCAACCTGAACAATCATTTACGTGTAATGATGGCAAATGTGGCACTCTACTTACTATTTATGTGGTCCATATAATAAATTCCAATTTGTTTATCATATACAGTTTCCCATCCTAAAGGAAGTTCGTCCCCAACACAATCGGCAAAGGTCAATGGCTTTGTTATCCTGCAAAATAAAATTATGAAAACAAATTTGAAAGTCAGGTTAGTTTTGTATAGCTCTGTTGATTCTAGAATTAGTTTTAGAATAAAATTATACATTATCTTATCTAATTGACTCCTTTTGCCACGACTATTTGGTTGGAAAATAAATTCACCAGCTTTGCGTAAATAACAATGTTAGTAACACTTATAATTAAAAGCATTACTATCTCAAAGTGCACTTTAAATACCAGCAAAAACAGATATTGACAGTTACCAACAAAACAGGTAAAACAAGCATCTTCTTCCACACAGTCTATTAATGAGGCCATGACAATGGAATGTGACTCTTCCAGAATTGGAGAGCACCCATGCTCTGCTCTCACTCCGTGAGAAATGCTCTCTCTTACAACTTTCAGTTTCCATCCAGCACACATGAACACCAACTTAAACCTATGCACAATGCACTTGAAGCATTTTCACTAACCATGGTCATAAGTTAATGAACCAACATCAACCATCAAGCAAACGCAGAAAGTCAAGCAAGGTAACAGTACAATGAGATGCCTTCTGAGCACTTCCTGCACTATAAGAATCAGAAATTTCAAAGGATCATTTTTCGTTTTTCTAGAGAAAAAACAGCAAAAGCACATTGTCTACAAACTTCTCTTCTTGAGGGAAATCTGATTAAGGAAACCTGGGCTTGACAAGAGAGAAAGTAAATTGTTTTTCATGGATTTCTTTGGGCAGAGCTTCCCCCTCCCCCACTGCCTTGATCATGTTGATTGACAAGATGGTTTTAGGGCAGCAGCTGTTGTATAAAACGGGACACACCTATAATTGTCTGAGTCTGGGCAGCTATCTCTTTGGTTGTCTCTATAAATGCACACTGACTGGTATGCATGGGAATCCGATAACCTAAATTTCACAAGCTCAACCCTCCCACTTCTTCTGTTCAAGTCCCTGGCCCCGGGAAAGTGAGACATCACACCCACAGCCAGGCCTCACAAACTGAATTTTGAATATATGATTTTCCCAAACTGGTTGGACCACAAGGCTATTTCTCCCAGTAGCACTGAGAAATTGATAAATATTATCAGAACAACTCTGATTTTGATCTTCATTTAATCTTAGTTTTAAATATATGATTTTAAGAAGTTAACATTAATATAAAAACAGAAGTATCCAGAAGGGAAAATTGACTATACACATCCTCCCATATATGATACACTAAAAAAACCACATCACAAGATAAACTACTGCATACTCTGTCTTATCCCTTGACACTGACACCTGTAGCAGGATTCCCTTACCGATTGGGATGGTGAGATGGTGATGTGGTTCCAAGCCAAGCAAGTAGCAGCAGAGTGTTGTACATGAATAAAGTCCTAAATTGGACCAAAACACAGCAAAAATAATCCTACCTTAACTCAAATTGAGTCCTGAGCATATTACTGCCATTCCAGCATAATAATATTCAAGAATAGGCTTAGAAGCTGGGCATGGTGGCACACGCCTTGTAATCCCAGCAGCTCAGGAAGCTGAGGCAGGAGGATCATGAGTTCAAAAGCCAGTCACAGCAATAATGAGGCACTAAGCAACTCAGTGAGACCCTATCTCTAAATAAAATACAAAACAATGCTGGGGATGTAGCTTAGTGGCCAAGTGCCCCTAAATTCAATCCTCAGTACAAAAAACAAAAAAGCCTAGAGAAAAATGACCAAAAGCAAGCATATACTAAGCATATTTGTATACAATGTCATTTAATCAACAAATATAAGTGGGAACCCCATCCTTATGGCACTTCTGAGCCTAATTCATTTACTTTACAATTCAAGTGATACTTCTGCCATTTTGGTGAATTTCATATTGGCTTTATGTAGAAGCCCTAGCCACCATCTTTACCACAACCCATGAGACCCCAAGTGAGAACTATCCATACAAACCCTTCCAAATCCCACACCACAGAAATCATGTGAGACAATATAACCAAAAATTTCAGGTGACTTATCATGCAGCAATAGAGAACTAGTGCCTAAGCCCCTCACAGTCCATCAGACATGGAAAAGACATCAATGGTGAGGATGCAGGCTGTCATCTAGCAGCAGGCATTGAAATGCACAGAGCACATTTAGTCCTATTCAAGAATATTAAAATAAATCTACACCACTCTTCTGACTTATCTACCAGAATGTCACATTCTCAAGATGTCCAGATAGTTGTGGCTTCATTGAAGATAAACAAATCCTGGTACAATGTTCAATAACAGCATCAAAAATGCTTTGATTTGTATATGTTATGTATGACTATATAAACAGATCCCACCATTATGAACAATTATAACACACCAATAAAAGCATATGGAAAAAATGTTTACATTTACTTCCCTAATTACCCAAAATGTTTATGAGACAGGGACTTTGTGGTTTTCTCTTGCACAACATATACTATCATGAATATTCTAAACTATATTAATATAAAAGTGATGTTTTTCTCTCAAGAAAGGTGTCAGTGGGTAACATTACATCAGCAATGAGTAAATCTCCTCTGATAAGTTATTCAGTTTCAGAATCTATCTATCACATCTCTACAATGAGGAGAGTTGAATATTAGAAGGGCACTGCCTGGGGTTTGGAACACTGGCGTTCTTTTGGTGTTAGCTTTTCAGCAAGGGGTGTTTCTGGCTATTGTTGGTTAAAAAGCATGGTCTTGCATTGTCAGCATAAGGCTAGGAACCACCTACAAGAGATATCAGGCTTGGCTGGGGGATAACCAGTGCTCCAAGCAAGGTAGAAAGCTTCATCCTAGAAAATGTCAAGATCCTTTTTCTTGCCAATTATCATCCATTCACTTTAATGGAGAGACTAATGCCCAAAGACTCTTCCTCAAGCCAAGGTGCTCTGTGCAAAGGTGCATAGCATTCAGTCTGCCAAATTCCCTGGGCTGGTACTAAAGTCTTCCCCAAGCCCATACAAAGTTTCTAGCTCATTCTACTTTTTCTCCCTATCACTCCCCCCACTCCATATACCCACACAATCTGTAGATAGGTCTGTTCATCTGCCCCCCCCCCGCAAAACATAACATTCATTCTAGTCTGAGCATCTTGTCCTCAGCCTTTCCTGGGCCTGTGGATAGGCTTCCAATACCCCTGTCATTCCCAATTCCCATTTGCCCTGCAAAGTCCAGCTCAATTCTCTACAAATTATCAATAAGGTTTTGTCTGACTCCCAAACTCCTACTGTCTCCTCTGTGTGGGAGCCACTTCTGTTTTCATGTTACTGTGCCCATCAGGCACAAAACACCACTCCTAATCATGTTTATTAAATTTGTGCACACCCTCCACTTAAATGAATGTTAGCCTCCTCACTCAACCAGAACCCAGCAGTGATCTCACAAGGGAAGGAGGCTTTTGAAACAAACAGCCTAAAGCACGTTTGCTTTACTCCTTGTTGAGAAGCCACAGCCACAGTGGCCCTAAATACACACATGCCTCCAATTTCAGACAATTTACCCTTTTGTTTGAACTACACTGACCCCCTAAATTGACCCTCAATGCCAGATTCATGCTTCTAGGCATTTCCCAATGGACCCAATATCCAGACCTTTGTTTGGAAAAAAAAAGTTTGGCGAGCTCAGGCATCTTTAGGTCTGTTCAGCACCATGTGGGCACTTCTGACAATTTTATTGCATGGTTTTCAAACTGTCATTTCATAGAAACAGAACTTTCTCGGGGCAGAGACAGCATGGACCACAAGGAGAGGAACTACAAAAAAATTATAACAGCTTGGGTTACATATGGTTGAATGCATTTTGTTTGTATTATTTTATCAAAATGAATGGAAAATGATACTGCTAACATTAGCAGAGAGGTTTATGAACTTTATGCAATTAAGAAAAAAGTGGAAGTTGCTTGGTATGTGAAAAGGCTAAAACCTTAGATAACATCCAGATTAAGCTGAATCCAAAAAGAAAAAAATAAAAGTTTAATGGAACTTAACAAAAAGTTAGAAACATGTCAAAGACAGAACTGGAGATATTTTAAATCTTTCTCAGCTCTCCAACTTCCCCCAGTGCAAGTATAAGTCTTTCAGCTTTCCCATATTAGTTACATAGTATATAGAAGCAGGGGAATGGTAATATTGTAACTTATTTCTCTTACAATAAAGCAAAAGAGAAAAATTAGAAGCAGAAAGATACACATTATTACAAGCAGTCACACAGAGAAAACAGTGGCATATTAATATGTGGAAAGAGACAGGAAAACCACAAACAATAAAACAGGGGAACTCAAACTACCAAAGGCCATTTAGTAAAAGATGGGGGAAAAAAACAACCCAGACACCTCAGCCTCTCCCAGACCCTTCTCTATTACAGCACCACCCAATAATTCATACTCACAAAGACCACCATGAATTTATTTATGCCTACTTTTTTCACACTGGTAAAACTGGTATTTATTTATTTGTTAGTATTTCAAATTCAACCAATCCAAAATTTGATTTCATAGTTTCTGCTTAAGATTAATTCTTGATACTTTACAAACAGGATCAAACCTATATCTTTAGTCTGATCTCCTATCCTTCTCCCCATATATTCTTAATTTTAATGCCCAAAGCTGTGTTTGCATTAACCAAAGCTGTGCAACTTCTAATTCTGCAATTAAATTGTCACTAGGGAAAACATCTTGTATTTTTATAAATGTAATTGATTTTTATTATTATTTGCATTTGCCAGTTCAAATGCTAAGCACATTTAAAAATCAAGGAAAAACTAAAAAGAAAAAGCACTTTGCTCTATGTTGTTTCTCTGCTCCATTTCATCCAACTGTGATGGGATTTCCCACATTGATACTTCCTCCTCCCCTTTGCATAGAGGTAAAATCATGTGAGTTCTATGCTTTCCATCACTCCCATTCACCTCCCCCAGATTAGGCCTATCAGTATCTAAGCCTCACTTTTTAAAAACAGGGATAAGTGGATTTGCAGGGGGTGGGGGCTGTCAGGGACCCAAAGTAGAACATTCTGG